TGAAAACCAATCACAGATACTTAAGACTGGAAGGCAGTTTAAAAAGTCATCTTGTCCATTACAGAAAAAACAAATAGAAATATACATTTTATATATATATATATATATATAACTCATATATTTGTATATTTGGCAAGACCAATACTTGGCAAACTATTCTGGACACAGAAGTACCTGTGAACTTCTCAAAACATGTTCTAAAAAGAAACTAACAAAACACTGTAAATCAACTATACTCCAATATAAAAATTTTTTTTTAAAGAATTCAGGGAATTTCATGATTTCACTGTAGGGCCTTGGATTCAATCCCTGGTCAGGGAACTAAGATGATACATGCTACAGGGAGGGCTAAATAAATAAATATTTAGAAAAGAAGAATTCACACCTTAGTTGCTACCACCCATTTTTGTCTTACAACTATTCATACTATGGTCAGGATGATCTTTCTAAACCTGAATGCCTTCTGATATGCTTTAAGCCTACAAACTATTACCAGTCTTTCATGAAAGAACAGCCACTCTCTAGCGAGCAGACAACACCTGTTTGTGTGTGCATGTGTGTGTATGTACACGCGCAAATGCATTTTGGAGGGATATCTTTAGACCCAATAATCTAATTCCATCAAGCCCAAAGCTTGAATTATTTCTTGTATTCTTATCCTCCAGAAAGACTTCTTAGCTAGGAAAAAGACAGACTGAACTAGTTAAGGGATTATGACATTTCAAAGCTCATTCAGATTTTACAAATAAAACCACCTCCCCAAATCAAGAAGCACATTTGATTTAAAAGTGACCTACAGTGAGGGTGACCATAGAAATTTTTTGTCAAAAATGGGACACTTGAGAGTAAAATAAGTATGCTGGGACAACCAGGTATAATCCACAACATATGGCCACCCTACTTACAGTCTTCCATAGAAGAAATGGTTTAACTTACCCTCAACAAAATGAATTCCTTGTTATCAATGGAGGATGGCTTAACACCACTCCAGTAGTCATGCCCACAGTATAATTTTGTTCTCTAACCTCTAAACCTCCCCAGGTTAAACACTAGGAGCAACTTCTGGCTTAGGCTAGCCACATAAGAGGTATAAATTTTAAATGGGATTTTGGGGTGTTTGAGAAAATCGTAAATAATTAACTATATCAAAATCACCCTACTGAAGATGGAGAAATGACTTATTGAAGTTTCTTTTAGAAAAATTAAAATTATGTTCATAGTAGCTGATCCTGAAGACATCAGTCCTTTTTCTACTGGAGAACAAGAGAGGGAAAGACATTGAGCCACAGTGCTTATCTATAGAAAATGAGACCAAAAGGAACACATTCCTTAGCAGAGGGCTGCAAACCACAGTGGGCAATGAGGGACTGGCCTCACCCTCATCTGTAGCTGGCCCAGAAAAGGCCTTACCATCAGTAAAAGGCAGCTTCCTCCCACACTCCACTTTCCTGATTGACCCCACCCCAGACCACATTCCCCAACGTATAATGTGCTACTGTGGCACAAGGACAATGTTGTTTGAGAAGAGAGGAAAGCTCACCTCTGTCTAAAATGAAATTTTCTGGGAGAGAGAAAAGGTCTGAGGTTAAAGGTAGCCTCGAGTGATACCGTTTTGTCCAGTCCCCTTTGTTTTGTTTCCAAGCAGCCCTGGAGAAGTGGCATGAAGAGCCCAACCAAGTTCTTTGTGTCTAACCATATGACATTGGGTTTGAAAAGGTTTTCTGGTTGAGAAACTGTCAATTAGGGAGCTAGCTGATGGGCAACTTTTCAGAGGAGGCAATGGGGAAAAAAAAAGAAAGTGTCCAACTCTGAAGTTTTTACAATAGGAAAAGTAGGAAAGCCAGATGACCTATTCCTTAGTATATCATTTCTCTTCCCTATCATCTACTTTGGTTCTTCTCTCCTTTTGCTTACTGCAAGAAGGAACACCTAAACCATATATGTGTCACCAGATAAATAAGTTTAAAGATAATAGAATCAAAGGCCAATTAGAATCTCCTTTTATCCCTTTACTAAGGGTTTGGAGAAAAACAAAGTATTCACTAGAACTGGACTTAGGAACACAGAAACTGAAATCAATGGTTCTTTGGTTAGGCTGGTACCTCTCCTAAGCAAATTCTTCTGTGCAACTGGGATCTCTACCAGTGATTGTGTCAGAAAGTCATGAGCATGTATGTTTAAAATCCAGCCCTTACCACTTTCTTCATCTCTCTTCTCTCACTTCCTAAACACAGGCAACACTGCCACATCTTTAGCTGTCTCTGTTCACTGAGTAGTTTACAGGTAATCATACAATTGTGAAAAAAAGAAAAAGGAAAGAGAGACTGAATAAAATGGAGAGAAAGCAGCAGTGTGCTGTACTTGTTTTAACTTTGGCAACAGGGTGTAATAGGTTTGCTTGTGTGTGTGTGTGTTTCAAAAAGCATTGATGCATCGAATATTTATTCACTGAACAGGTTGATTTATTTAACAGACTTGACATATGTCAGATTCTACCATGTGCTTACATAATTGTTACCCATTTATCAGAGCTGTTATTTAGCCAAATATTTGTTTTTAAAGCATTTTCCTTTAAATGACTTTCTCTAGCCCACTGCACAATCAATCTATGGTTCATTTTAATTATGTAATGTTATGCTATATTATGTTAACAACAGCTATTTGGTGGAAGTCTCTGAAATCTCATCTTCCAGGGCCATTTCATCTCCACCCTAAATTTATTTCTTTTTCCCTTTGTAATAAATTTCTGGTTAAAATCACATCATAGGGAACATTTTAAAAATATGTATAATGCTTTTTCATGTTATGCTATTTTACACTTTTGATTTCCAGAAAAAATGCAGTTTCTCAACATTCTGCTAAAATCACAGATCTGAATATTAATAACCTAAAAAACTGGCTATAAGGACAAAAGTATGATTGTGTGTGTGTTGAGGGTGTGTGTCTGTGGGGTGTGGAAAAGCAGTTGGAACAGCAATGGGAGAGCTAGGTGGATAATTAGAATAAGAGAAAGTAAATGGAATCAAATTTCAGAACAAATTTTGTTGAATCACCCTTCTCCATCTGAACACATGTGCAGAAAGAATTATATTTTTTCAACTCAAATGCATTCAGTTTATCTAGGTTCTGTGGGAGGTAAAATATTAGAAGGCATTTCCAAGAAACAAAAATGTTTAATCACTAGCTGCCATGCCTAGTTTGAGTTCCTCTACTATAAATATGCCAAATGCAAAGGCAAGAGGCTTGTTTTGACCTCCCAGGTCAAGAAGTGTGGGGACTAGTAAAGATGAGGTGTGGGAGGGAGGAAGGGAAATCCCACCATCATACAAGTGAATCTCTGACCTAGTAAGCAAATACGTTTGTGTTGTTACTGTTGGGTAAAATGTACAAGTCTTCCAGAAATTAGACACTGTAATAAAAATGTACCAGCCCAAATTTAAATTGCTCACTAGACAGATGGTTAATTATATTCACAGCCACATATTTCACTGGGATAGAGTTTCAGACACTCAGCCAGTTTTATTTGATTAGCCGGTTTCCCAGTTAATATGTAAAATGACAGTTACATAGGGCTTTTTTGTTACCTTCTAAAAATAATTTTAAATAAGTATAAATTCCCCTCAGCCATGAGAATTTCATGGCTGTAAGTAAAACGTTTGGTCATGTTAACCTATGTGTAAAAGATGTAACAGAGATTCATCCCTCGAAACCCAAATGGTCTCTATAGTTCAGAGAAGATCATTGGAGCACATTTTCTCACCAAGCAAAATATCTCAGCAACTATCAGCACACTCTTCTCCACGATCAAAAACAACAGAAGAGATATTCAAATCCCAGGGTAAAGTGTTTTAGATGATTTTTAAAAACAGCCCTGGGAGGCCTACACACAAGTCATGTCTTTGCAGATAACAGTGTAGAAAATGGAACGCTAGGAAAAGGCCACAGAGCTAAGTCTATTGCTGTGCACAGAATTCAACAATATGCTGGGAGCCGAAACCCAGAAGCAAAATACCAAACCCACTTATTTCAAACTGCAAACAGAAGCTCGAAGAAAATCAAATGTGTTGGTGTCGAAACGGGGATGCCATTTTTTTTTCCACTTAGAAAAAAGACAGAAAACCTTGGGCGGGTTATTCGGTCCCTCATGGATCAGACAGAAGCAGTCATGCTGAAACCATTGGATTCCTCAGCAGAACGGCGCCAACTCAGCGGCGCGTTTTCCACACTTTCCCAGAGCCTGGCCCGGCTCCCCGTGTGGGCTCGAGGCCTCCCCGCCCCACCGGGTGTGAGAGAGCGGAGCGGCCGGGCCGTGTGCTGCCGGGTGCGGCAGAGTGAAGCGCCAGAAGCCACGCAGGAAAGCGTAATTCGACTGCCACCGAGAGCGGGAAGGGGCAATGGGCCAATTACGCAAAGGTGACATGCCGCGTGGGGCTCCATAGGGCTCCCAACTTAGACCTGCCCACGGCCCTGGTTCGGTGGTGAGTGTTCAGAGGCGCTCTGTGGTCGCCAGTGCAGCCCAGCGGGCATGGAAGGTGTCGGCGACCGGGCTTCGCACTTTTGGCCCTGACTCCTGGTTGCAGCCGCCTCGTGGGTTTGCCCACTGACACCGGAGAGTGCAGTGTTAGTGCCCGTTCCCCAGCCAGGATCTCCCCGGCGCCGGCCCGCAAGGAGGCGGCACTCAGCTGGTCCCCGCCGCCCAGCTCTGAGCGCTGTGGCTCCGGCCCGCTCGCTTCCCCTCCCCCTCGCCGCCACCCCCTCCCCCGGCGCAAGCACACAGGCCTTTCCTAGATTACAGTGCCTGTCGGGGCTAACCGGGATCTCTCGCCCTCGCGGCCTCACTCCCTCATATACAGGCAGACACACGCACGCCATTCTCACACAGACGTCCTCCCTTCTGTTTCCCCGTCTTCCTCTTCTCGCTCGGCTTCCCCCAACGCGTTCCACCCCCTGCCGCCGCCACCCCGCGTCAACCGGGAAGCCGGCGAGAAGGCCGGGGCTGGATGGCAGCGCTTGTACTCACCTCCCAGGCCGACTCCGGAGACACGCGTCGCCGGCGGACTCAGGCAGCTGGCGCTGGGGCTAGCGCGGCCGCAGTCAAGGCTGGGCTGCTGCGGTCGCCGCAGCTGCTCAAGCTGTCCCCGCCGCCGCTGTTGCTAGTGCTGCCGCCGCCGCCGCCGCCTCTGCCTCAGCTCCATGCGCCGGGCCCGCCAGGTGGACGCGCCTCTCTCCCTCAGGCGCCGCCGCCGCGGCGGTGCTGGATGGCTTCAGAGCTGTCTGGTTATGGCCCTAAAACTCAGCGCCTCAGTGGCCGCCGGCTGCTCCTGGGGTCCGCTCTTCTACTGCACCGCCGACTGCTCCGGCCGGGGCTATCTCACCAGTGGGCTGAGCGCACGGCGCTGGAGCCTGCTGAGCGCCGTGGCTGCGGCCGTCCGCAGGAGGGAGAGAGGAGGGCGGCTGCTACTGCCGCTATCGCTGTTAAAGCTATTGCTAAATGCTGCTACTGTCGCTACTGCCACTGCTGTGGCGGCGGCTGCTGCTGCTGCTGCTGCTGATGCTACTGGTTTTCCTTCCCGGGTTCTCCCCCTGCCTCTTCCCCACTCCTCCTCCCACCCCCCCCTTCACTTTCTCCACCTCCTCCTCCTCCCCCTTCTCCTCCCTCGCCGCTTTTCTCAGAGCCTCTGCGGGCGCTGCCTGGTCTCCTCTTCTCCGTGAGCTGCCTCTGCCCATTCAGAAAGGTGCCCAGAGTGGGATTGCCTCGGCTGCCACCATCGCTATTGCCCCTGCCATTGTTTCCTCCAACAAGGCTGTTCTTGCTGGACCCGTTCCCCCCTCTACCTCCCTTCCCTACCACAGCCCTCCTTTTTCCTCCCGCGCTCTCTTTACCCTCTCTACAGTCCCTTCCCATGTGCCCCCTCCCACTTTGTCCGTCTGTCCCTCCCTCCCCTCAGGCGCCCGGGAGCGCGCACTGCGCGGCCACCTGTCATAAAGGGCGCGCACCCCCTTCCCCACCCCCACCCCGCCCCCCACTTTCATTCTCGCAGCCAGTCCAGTCCACCGCGCCAGTGGCGCGTTTTTCCCTGGCAGACACGCAGCTGGACATCACTCTCCCACGCCTTTTAGGGTAGTTATGTGTACAGAGAGGGCGCTCTGAAGTTTGGGGAAGAATATTTCAGTGTTCAAAGGAGACGCTTCTCCCACCAAGCGTCTAACCATTCAACCTCTACCTACCCTTAACTTCAGAGTCTAGGCCCTCAGGAGGGTGGGCTGTGTTGAAAGGGCTGGATGGAGGGCCATTTTCCAGAGAACTGGAGATGGCTGGGTGTTTTTGTTTTTGTTTTTTGTAATAAAGAAGAAGAGAAGGAGGGAACATGAATATGCCTGGAAGGAAATGGGATGTACCTGACTGCTTGTCCTAGAGAAATCCCTTAGGTGGTCATTTACTATCGGAATACATGGGAACCCTACAGGAAAAACGAGCAATTCGAGAGAAACTTAGAAGGGACCATTCAGCACTCCTGGAACCTTGAGTGTAAGGTTGGGGCCTAAGCCCCTGAGTCATCACCACTAAGACCAAGGGCAAATGATGGAAAGGTTAAGTGCTAGAACAGAAGGCACAAAACTAAGCTACTTTCTGTGCACTTGTTCTAGCAAGCCTTTACCAAAGCACAGTTTCTCCTATCTGGCAGGGCCCAATTTCAGATATATTTGCTGCAACGTCATTTTGCTGCCAAGGTTCAGACTTGAGACCTTATATATGCAACTATCACCATCACCTTCAGTAGAACCTCTATGACCTGTCACACAACCCTTCCTGAGAAAAGCACAGACTGGGAGGGTCTGTTTCCCTTTTCTGGCAAAGCAGGAAAGACAAATGTTCTAGATATCCCATTGCCAACAAGGTCTGGGTTACCTTTTCTAGTTTGGGGCATTCTCCATGAGTCTTTCTTCACTGAGAAGTAAGAATCTGGGCACAGGGAGTCCTTTTACAATTCCTCATCTCCGTGCCTTGGGTTCTGCCATTCCACCTGCTTGGAACACTCTTGTCCTTTCTCCCTATCATTTTATATCTGTTCAACTCATCCATAAATAATAGCTCATCTACAAGTAATTGATAATTATTGAGCCCCTAATATGTGCCAGATTCTATGCTAAGCAATTTACATGAATTATTTTATTTAAGCCTCACAACAAACATAATTTTATTATTCCCATTTTACAGATGAGAAAATTGAGTCACAAAGAAGGTACATATATGTATCTTGAGAATAAAAAGAATATCTTCTTTATCTTGCATTTGTCAGGCACTGTGAGAATATATTTGTGTCTTTCAGGCACTGGGGTAAATGTGAAGAAAAATAAGATTCCCTCGAGAACAAACAAAAAGGTTAAACATGTGAAATGCCACCTCTCTATTGGCTGGATCTCAGTGGCCACAATGGACTGCTATTTTCCTATTGTTGGAAAGCACATTGTTTTCACCTGTATTAACCACATATGCTAGTTTTCCTTTTAGAATCAGTCACTTTTTAGTTACCAGTTCTAATTTGTGTCAGTGACCTTCACCTAGAGAGTACCAGGAACACACCCAAAGTTGAACAAGTTAGGTTTATTACTTGTTATGGTGAAGGAAAATGCACACCATAGATGTTATGGGCTGAAGTGTTCCCCCTTCCAAATTCATATGTTGAGCCCTAACTCCTAAATACCTCAGAATGTATTTGGAGTTGGATCTTCAAATAGGTGATTAAGTTAAAATGAAGTGGCTAGGATGAGCCCAAATCCAATATGACTGGTGCACTTATAAGAGGAGAAAATTTGTACATACAAAGAGACACTAGGAGTGCATGAGTACAGAGAAAAGATCATGTGCAGACAAAAGAAGAAGGCAGCCATCTGCAAGGCAAAGAGAGAAGTCTCAGGAAAAAACAAATATGCCAGCACCTTGATCTTGGACTTCTAGCCACCATAGAACTGTGATGAAAATTTTAAACCACTCTGTCTGTGGTATTTTGTTATGACTGCCCTAGCAAACTAATACAACATGAAACTACAAGATGTCTTAGTAAAAGAGTGGTAGAAAGGTTTTATTATAGGATTTGGGCTTTGGTTGGGTGATTTGGGAGAGTGTCTAAGAAAGTAGGGGTTCATTCTATATTGAATGCTATCAGAAAGCAAGGGCAATTCTATGATTGCACATCTTAATATATCTTATCTATAGGGAAGGTGATTAAAGTGAGATTAAAGTGAGAATTAATCTTTTGTGGGTGGCACAGTGACCTTGTCTTTGTCTGTGCTTAGACTAAATTATGAAGCAGCTTTGCTTTCTCTCACCATATCATGTTCTTGGGGTAACACTGTTTGATGTGGGTATTTTGTGAGATTGTTTACATCCAGCAGGAGAACAACATGGCCTACCTGTGCCTACCTGTGAGTGCTAGGCCAGCTTTCAGATGTCAAGAGCTGCTTTTGTTCCTTTCTCATATGTGACTACTTAACACCATACATTAGTTGCAACTAACTTGGCCTTAGGCAAGTTACTTCTCTGTGCCTCAGTTGTCTTACCTATACTTGAGGGAAATTAAACATATAATAGTGTGGGAACTATAAACAGAGGAATATACACAATGTCCTTAGAACAGGGCTCGCAACACAGGCAGCATTCATTGAATATGGGCTATTATCTATTTATCTCTTCTCCAACATACCATTTAGCATGAATTACATGTAGTTATGTGTTGATACACTCTCTCTTACTGGACTATAACTTCCCTGAGCACAGGGATACTGTCTATTGCCATATTAATAACAGATAACTTTCATTGAGTGCTTTCAGTGGTCCAGGCACTATTGTTAGCTGTAGTTACTCCAAGAAAACTTCAGAGGCCCCATTCTTACCTGTAGTCTAGCCTGGGTGTCCTCCTCTATGCTCCTACAGCACCTATGTTTACCTTAATCACTATACTCAAAGTACGATACTTATGCTATCTGCTTATGTGTCTTCTTCCCTTCCTATACTGTTCACTTATAAAGGGGAGAGTAGGTACTTTTAAAAATTTACAAATAAAAATTCTGTATATTTAAGTGTACAATGTGATATTTTGATACATGTATAAATTTTGAAATGATTACCACAATCAAACTAATTAATACATCCATTAACCAATGATCATACCAGTCAATCCTAAAGGAAATCAGTCCTGAATATTCATTGGAAGGACTGATGCTAAAGCTGAAACTCCAATACTTTGGCCACCTCATGCGAAGAACTGACTCACTGGAAAAGAGCCTGATGCTCGGAAAGATTGAGGGCAGGAGGAGAAGGGGACGACAGAGAATGAGATGGTTGGATGGCATCACCTACTTGATGGACATGAGTTTGAGCATGCTCCGGGAGTTGGTGATGGACAGGGAAGCCTGGCATGCTGCAGTCCATGGGGTTGCAAAGAGTCAGACATGACTGAGCGACTAAACTGAGGGAACACATCCATTACCTCACATAGTTATGATTTTTTTTATATGGTGAGAACACAATATCAAATCTTTTAGCAAAGTTCAAGTATAAAATACAGTATTATTAACTACAGTTACTGTGCTGTACATTAAATTTTAAGAACTTATTCATCCTGCATAACTGAAACTTTATACCCTTTGATCAACAGCTCCCTATTTCCACCATACTCAGCCCCTACCAAACACATTTTTGAGTTCAATGTTTTTAGATTCCACATATAAGTGAGGTCATGGAGTATTTGTCTTTCAGTTTCTGGCTTATTTCACTTAGGATAATGTCCTTTAGGTTTATCCATGTTGTTACAAGTGCCAGGATTTCTTTCTTTTGTAAGGTTAAATAATATTCCATTGTGAATGGGTGTGTGTGTGTGTGTGTGTGTTTGTAATATTTTATTTATCCAATCATCCATAGACAAATATTTAGGCTGTTACTTTGAAATGAACAGGGATATCTTTAAGATACTAATTTCTCTTGAAATCAGATACTTGTAACTTTGGTGCCCATGTCTTATCACAGTGCCCAGCACAATAGAGGTTCTGCATATGAAGGCATTCATTGGATTTTCAGTCCATTCTTTGCTTTGTCTGAAGTGGAACTCAGGTCAAAGTAGGTGTCTTGTCTTAGCTCACATTGCCCCTTTCTCTGGGGTTTTATTGACTGAAAAAGTAACAAAAGATTTCTTACATAGTGTTCTCCCTGTATGGTAGATCTAAAAGAGAGAATCACCAAAAGACTTCAATGCAGGAAGGTGCCATTTGGGAACAACTAGCCCCTGCTATTTAACAGTCAACGGTAACATGTCCATTGGGACAAAGTGGAGTAATGAAGGAGACTAGGATCTAGACCTTGGGTTTTGACCTTAATTTTGCTGTTGACAGACCATGGTATTCAGCAAATCACTGAACCTCTCTGACCTTCAATTTCTCCATGGGGGAAATATATAGAGCATAATCTCTTTATTTGCCAGCTAATAGAGCTTGATAAAAAAATTAGAGTATTTACTGGAGTTTCTCTTTGGGAAAAATATTTACTTCTTCCATT